CCGCACCAAGAAACGAACTATTCAAAGAAACAAGAATTGTCCTACTACTCCAAGTTAATACCGAGTAAAGAACACGATTAAAATCATACGCACTTCAAAAGAAATAAGTTTTGCATTAGATTATACATTGTGTTTAGTCATATTAGAGTTGTTTTTATTTATTCCTATGTTTGACACTCATCAGGAATTGGAGTCCCAAAATAACGCATTTCAAGATTATTTTGACATGAGTATCTTTCTTGACTATCTGAAATTCCTGATGAATAATTTGTTTAGCCGAACTCGTTTACAGTGATTTAAGAATTCTTGGAGGTTGTTTGACTTTGCATTCGCAACTTGGTCGTAATGCTAGGAAGACTTAGAGGAACGCACCTAGTCCGGATGACATTGTCTGCATGATCATTTCCAAAGTTGAACTATGGACGTGGTACATTCCCAAAAGTTAAATTTTGGAAATGATCATGCAGATAATGGACTCCATAGAAGGCCTTCCAACCAATATAACCATATTGCGAAAACAAGGTTAAACAAGTTCCATACAACGAAAGGAGACTGCAACCACAGAAAAGGCCACACCATCTTGGTCCTCATACCATAGATTAAGAATTCTTGGCTGGATATTTCCCACAATGAGATGAGAATGTCTAATTATGCTATTAAATTTCACTTGGATTCCTGAGGCGCATTGCTATCAGCGTGGGCATCACACAATTACCCGAAGGAATATATACTGGCTAAGTTCCACTCGAAGATAAAATTTTCTTATCTTCTTATCAGGACTAATATCGGTGGATATTATATGAAAGCAAGATTAAATGAGCTTTGCATGTGTCTGCAATTTCCCTTCGCCTTGCAGAGTTGCTTCTAACTCTCGTTCTTATCTTTGTCTTGATTTAAGTAATACGTCGAAGAACGCACCTAATTTTCCATTTTTAAAACTTATTTTTCCAGCGTCGGACCGATGATCTCTACAGTTCAGACCTTAATCCGCATTCATAGTTGGCACTTTTAGAAACTACATCGCTCCTCAGCACCGAGCTACCACTCGGTAGAGTAGTGTCCAAGACCGAACCCAGCCGTGGTCCGATGCCAGAAGAGCATACCCGAGCACTGACAGGGAGAACAGTACGAGGTGATTTCTTCGAAGCAACCCTCTAAACACGACACAGTGTTGTCATTCACAAATTCCATCAATGATGCACATCGATGCTTAGGAAATCTATTATTGGACTTCAGTCGCTACCCTCCAAATGACTTGGGGGATTAAGTGTTGCAGTCGGCCCAGGTCGCATATTGGCTGAAAGTTATATTTTTGCCCACAATGCTTTGAATAGGCGTCAGGTTTATTTTGAACTTTACATGGCCTTTATTCCCAAACATATTCTCATTCAGGCTGTACTCGACTGCCGACTCGATCTCGCTTGAACTGGTCTCCTCAGCACTATGCCGGGTACTCAAATCATAGAAGTGTCTTGGTTGAAAGTGTACATCCCCCTCGATGAGAATACCATTTTAGATTCAAGTCTCTGTGAAATCCTCATAATTGGACCTCCTTTTCTTATTTACCCCACCGAACTAGAGTGAATGCATTCTTCAATTTACAGGAGATTAGATAATCCTAATCAAACTCTTGCTTTGTGATTCATACTGCTATTTCTTTCCCCATACATATTACTATCATATATCTATAATTAGTCCGTACTCTATTTCCTACACTTTTATCTCTTATTCAGGATTTTATAGTTCTTCGTAATCTTACGTGTCGATATGAATGACTCATCATCTGCAACGCTATTTCGTTTTCGGTATTAACAATATGTTTAACTGGTTCAGATTTTTAGGCATAAATATTTTCAAAGGTTTTCTCTTTTATGATAATCACTTTTGGATGGACTCACAGCTCTTCCCTTCATAGACATGATCACAAATTTTATAACATTCGAATCCTTCGGTTTTCGATGAGATCAATTCACAACTTTATTCCAACCAACATTTCCTTTGAAATTGAATGTCGGATCACACCAAAACTGCTCATTGCTTCCCAGTGAGGCCAATTTACGAATTCCTTCCAGTTCGAATGTCATCTGAAATCAAATAGCAAGATACATACAAATATTCTATTCAGTATGAGTACGTTTCTAATCAATCAATAAATATTATTTGATTTATCATGATGCATGTAATGACATACGATTGTGGTACAGTTTTATACACAATACTTGAATCCCGTTGTGGATTCACTTCATCCTAGCCATACCCTTAGGAGGCAAATCTAGGGAAAATTCACTTCAGTCGTAAATCCCACTTATCTGATTGTTCGAATCATTAACATCTGCACTATACCGTCACGGGGCAGACGTAGATTTCAACGAATGTCAAACCTTTCCTATATCACACTTTTTCATGCGATATCTTATTAGGCAAATTTATGTTATATGATAAGTTTTAGAATTATTCGCACTAGTTGGCTAACTATGTTATTATTAATAGTTTCGAAACACTACTTATAAATGGAAAATTTGTTTTATGATTTATAATCGACAACGATATTTATTTATTTTCAGAGAAATTGGATTTTTCGTATAACCTGAATAATATTTTCACTTACTCTAGCTCACATCATGTGTGTATGGACTGATAGTTAAATTTTCCCCAACATATTAAGATGAATATCGGTGATGGCAGGACGGACATCATTCGTTCATGATGGCTCACAGGTCCTCGACTTTTTCTTTCTCAAATATTATTCTGTGCCAAGTCGAAATTGTCGTTTAGCCTCAAGTAGTACTTTGTGGAGTGAAGTACCATAGGATTCATTTTACAATTGGTTAATACGATCTTGTGGGAAATATAAATATACATTTATATTGGGGAAAGGAAAATGTAAATTTCTTTCTTTCTCAATTGTAATATAAAGAGTCGTCATTATTATTGCCTGTCGATTTTTTCCCTCCGCTTACATTTGTCTCACCTTTTTATGCCCTTTATCCAAACTCTTCCCACCTCAGTCATTATTCAAACCTCAATCACTCATTAAATGGCATCCTCCATCAAGCAAAACGAGCTAGCGCTTTGTGCTGATGCATATCTCAATGATCTCGGCTTCTGTCAATTTATCCCATCTGGGATAAAAAAACTATATATGTATATGCATAGAGTGAGGGAGAGAGATTGGAAAATAAGGAAAGATTGTGCACACATACATGCATCTGTATGCGTGAATACACCTTCAAAGGGACGGGAAGGCAAGGACAGTGGAGTTTCTGTAAGAAGAATTATTTCATTGAGCTCACCCGCATCTTTGCCTGACAGAAGGAAAAGGCTATTCTTCATGTTATTGTAGAAAGCAGAAATCATGATAATGGGCGAAGGATTCATCGAATATTGTATTCTTGCTTATTGTATTCGGAAGAAAGATGTGGAGCGGCGAGGAAAGGAGAGTGGACAAGTGCATGCGAGAGATAAACCAGAGGCCAGAAGTAAGGCTGCTTTTGGGGAGATGGTGACCTGTAAAGCTAAATTCTCCTTCAATTATCTCACGATCCTAGTTAGAATTGAGGCGATATTAACAAAGCTTTACAATGGACAATTTCTTCCTGTTAAAGCGAACACCTCAAAACAAACTGGGTGAGCAAAGTTGAACTTGTAAGTCGTCAACTATATGCTGCCACGTGTTAGTTTGACCTCATTTTCGCACCTTGGTCCTTGCGAGGCATGCTTAGTTATGTTTCCTCTGCCCGAGTAAGCATGATCATTTCCAGTTTCGTCCGGAAATATACGAGATTCATGATCTGGCTTTGTAAAGTATCAATACTAGTTGGGTATGTTAAAAAAGATCTATCTGTCGCTTTTACCAAGTTGAGGAAACCATATTAAACCAATCCTGCGGCGATTGCGACCAAACCATATGCCCCACAGTCTTAATCTTGCTATAAAAACTTAAATTCTGTTCCGTATTCAGTAGAACTCTAGGGCTAGCTTATGCCAGTGATGTACCCCATATATGCTCTGAAAAGAATTAAGCTGCTACCAAAAATGAAACTAAAGTGGCAGTTGGGAATAAAGATCCTTTAATTCGTTAGGCATAAGCTTATCCATGTTTGATTATATGCTATTTATGCACTGAATTGATTCCATCCTAGAGGATAGGCCCAAGTAAAAATATAATATAGCAGGCAGAGCTTCAGAAGAAACTGAAATATTCTCTTATGCATCGGTAGACGTGTGCAGTCAAACTACATATCTAATCCTTATTAGTGGATAGGACAAAAAGAAATATATCTGGATTTTTCTAAGGTAAAATAAAAATTTTTGGTACCCAAAATTTTCAAGACCATCAACTAATATTAAATAGGAAACTAGTCGATATAAGGCGATAAGGTGATTTAAGTTATAATAT